AGATACTTACCATGTGTAAGGAGATAAGCATTTTTTCATTACCAAGTTTCAGTTTCCTCAAAACAGCTTGAAGATAAGGATTTTAAACTAGCTTGACAGAATTGCGTAAACGAAGTACCTTGTGAAGGCTATAAGACGAAATAAAAAAGCTATGAACTAGTGAAAACACTATAGTACCTATGACCATCATGCTTCGTAAGGCACTCTCCAGTTACTCCAAATGAGTAGTGCAAGAAGAAGTGTCATCGTGACAGTGATGCCAGAGTACTTCTGAACTTGGGGTAGAAAACTTCTTGAGTGGCAGGCATGTCTCCACTCTGAGCGAGCACGTGAGTAGTGGATTCCGTCCAGATTTCTCTCCCGGATCTGCGAGTGGAGCCTCTTCTCTGCTAAGTCGCCACGTGCCTTGAGCACCACCATGAAAGTCTGAGCGTTTGGCTGCCGGTTTGCTCGTAGCACTAAAGAGCAAAGGTTGTTCTTGGCATATCCCAGGAAATGATGTCTTGCTGCTCCATGCAAAGTCTCAGCGTTTGGAGGCAGGCCAGCTTCTCGTTGCGTCTGATAGAAGACTTGCATGTTCGTGTTCCAGGCAACCAACGTCGCGTTTCTTTGTCTTCCTGAACACTTCTGATGGTTCCACAGTCCACGAGGCTGCTTGTGACGAATGCATACGGCTTTGTATTCACAATTTGCGAGGTAGACCAACCTATCCTGTTCTTAGTCCCATCCTGTTGAACAACCTGTGTTGCAAGCCGCAGTGTAAAGATCACATTACTGCGCTGCTTCCTTCGAGATAACATCCATTGCACGAGCAAAAAGCACGTGAGCAGCACCAAGATCGCAACCAAAACCCAGAGAAGAAGCTGGAGCAGCGACCACGGCGTCCTCTGAACCGCTGTAACTACTGCTGCAGGTGTTGGTGTGGCCACTGCTGCATTGTGACCGTCGCGACGATGGTGGTGGTGGTGGTGGTGGTTGTGGCGTCCTCCATGGTGGTGACCATGGTGGTGGTGGTGAACAACCAGAGGAGCTCCATCACCGTGATGATGATGGTACACTGCTGCTGCTGGAGCTGGATGGTAGTGGCGAGCATGATCAAGGATAGCAGGCGCTGGAGCTAGATGAGGAGGGTTGCCACGAGCAGGGTGAACGAAAGCAGCTAGCGCTGGGGCTCAAACTGGAGTGTCACATTGAAGAACTGGAGCTAAAGTTGGCACTGGCTCGTGGCCTTGGTGTCCATGGTGGTGTGCTGGATGTGCTGGAGCTAGAGCTGGAGCTCGCGAGTGTGAAGCTCGGTGATGGCTGCCATGCCAGGGCACTTGAGCTCGGCGGGCAAGCGTTGGGGCAGCATGAGCGTGAGAGACCATAGCTTACCTCTTTGACAGTAGAAAAATCCAAGCGAGAAAGAGGAAAAAAAAAGAGTAGAGTCAAGAGCTTGTGACGTTGTGGATTGTTGGACTTGAACTGAGCATGCCAAAGAGCCCAAACCTAGATGTGAACAAATGTTTTTACTTGCTTTTTCAAACCTCTGAAAACTTGGCATTCATTGAATGTGAGTCATAATGCTAGTAGTTCTTAATCTGAGAAATAATTAAAGTCTTTAAATGTAGAAAATGACTAAACCACCATGGTAACTAAGTCTGTAGTTCTAAACTTATATTCCATGTAAACATTACTTTCAACCCACTAAAATGTATGAACTGGTATTACTTGTTTAAATTTTTTAAAGTGTTTGTACATTTTAAACTCTAGCACAACCAATTGTGCTTATTATGGTATTCAACTTAAATGCATTTTTCTATGTGTTCATGTAACTTTACTCTTAACGGAGAAGGCAACTCCTCTCTCAGATGATTTAAACTTTATTTATGCCATCATTATAGATAATTCTAATACCTCCTTAATGTTTTTGTGCTTCATTACTCATGAAACTATAAAGCATTTGTGGTGTTGAAAATTTTATTTCAACTTGGTATGTGTTGTTCAAAATAGAACTTAAAATGACATTTCTAACATTTAAATTTTAATTTCTAATTCTAATATTTAATTTTAATTTAATTTAAAATTTTAACATTTAAAGAATTATGTGTAATTGCAACTTTGTTGTAAAGCTTTCTATTTACAGTGTCACTTCCATAACTAAGAATTATATACTCATGATGATGGTATTGTTGCTTGATGTTGATCTTTTACTTTTAACTATAATGCCTTTGAGTATGTTATTTTTGCTTCCTTTGACCAAATACTTGTAATCTTCATATATTTGTTGTTTCTCATCTACTAATATGAAATCAAGAAAGATTTAAAAAACTTGAATTGTAATTATAAAGTTTGTATATATGTACAGGGCATGGTTGAAAGAAGAATATAACATCTAATCTACAATAAAATCTTGGAGAAAATTAAGTCCCATATATACTAATGAAAAACATTCTATATACTAATGTAAATACATTTGTGAATAGGCTTGTACAGATTTAAAGTCCATGCACTCCTAGGGCTCCATGGCTACTCTGCTCGGACAAGGTTGTGTGGGCATTCTTGTGAGAGTCTGTGTGTATGCGATTTAGTGTTCATTTTCGAAACCTCTTGCTTTGTGTGGAGCCAAATATGTCGGAGTGGATCAAGCTAACTCCTAGAGGAAGTAATAGGGGCAAGTAGAATGGTAGTCAGGCACACAATCCAAGTTCCTCTTGGGATCAACTCAGGACTGTGAGAGGCAAATTGGCTCATCTCCAACTTAGCAAAGCTTTAATCCCTGTTCGCCACTGCCTCAAGAGCTCTATAGCTTTGGCCTATAGGAAAGCAATTATCAAGGACACACCCTCTTCATCCCCGGATTCTCCCGAGGAATCCCTTGCTGCTGGGCCTGGTGAGGGATTGTTGTTTCAGCACATGCTCGGGATCAACTCTATTTGTATGAATCAGATGTTTTGAGTTGACGTAGGGCTGTCGAGTTACTGCGCCAGCCAACACTACTCCTGAAGTTTTGGAAATCCGACATGGCACTAATGTCCAGGTTCTCTCAAAAGAGGAGGTGCCACCGCAAGCATTGCCTGGTTTAGCTTCGTTTTTAGATCAAGGTAAGTTGTAAGTTTGGATATCTTTGTATTCTATGATGAGATTTTTTTTCCGTCCGATACTACTTCCGTCAAATCTAAAATTTAGTTCCAGTTTCCGAGATTTTGAGGGCTGGTTTCAACAATGCGTGCTTATAGGCTTTCTTAGGTGTTTGGGATGCTGTGCAAGGTAACCTGATGCTGGCGTAGGAGCAACACTTGGGGCTGCAGCTCAAAATTGCAAAGTTGTGGATTATGAGGCAGAGATTGGTAAACACAACATTGGAGTTATTCCGTTATTCTTGAGTGTGCTTCACAAAAGTCTAATATTTTCCTTTCAGATCATTACATAGTTGTGAATTTTATATATATCCAACTGTACTCTGCATTTCTATTCTGCATAAACTTCTATACAAACTCGATTAAAAATATATATATATAAGCTTCAAATTTATAATCAAACTGACTGAAAATGCCTCGCCTCCGCCATCTTTTGAGAGCTATATGACATAGTAAACAATCTAATGGAGATTTAGATGCCTCTGAAACTATGATTGATCATGATACACATACTATAGCTGTTCAAAATAATCATGATAATGATTCTATACACCAAAATATTAAAATTGGAGGTAATATAACTTGGTTATTCTGGCAACACATTGAGTTTTCATCTTTAAAATGCAATGCATTACAAAAAGTACAAACAAATGATAAACTACCGATATTAAAATTTATAATGTTAAAGTCATTATAAATGCTATGGCTTGCTAGTGTGGTATTCATGGGTGGGAGTGGTGGATTTAATATTGCTTGATATATGTAATCATCATAATGACATGCATGTAAGGTTCTAGATGCTTCTGACTGTCCAACTGATTGGTGTATATAATCATTATCATGATCACCTTTACCATTTGATATTAAACACTACAATAGTGCTCTTGCTTTTGCATCTATGTCTTCTAATATTGATATTGTAAAAGATCATGGTCCTTATAACTTTAAAATCCATGGTCAAATATATCATAATATTGTATCAACACATCCTTCTGAAGGTCGTGCTGATGTTTGTTTCTGGCCAATGGGAGGCAGCCAAGCTGCATGGGGCGAAAGAAGAAAGCGCTGCGACACATGTTGCATGTAAATGTGTTGACCATAACTGCATTTGCAGTTTATCAAGCAAATTGGTTTTATTTTGTAATGTTTTTCTAGGGTTTATGAAATGGCGAGAGAGCCCCTGCCACTGCTGCCAATTTGCAATCCAAATCTGAAATCTTGTGTCAATGCACGTTCTGGTACAGTTTGTGTCAAGATTTAATTGATTTGTCCGCACTTTCTTCAAGCATTGTTTCCGTTCCAGGTCTGCTTTGGTAGTGGTAGAGTTCAAAAATGAAGGGTCAAATGCTTATAAGCCAAATCTATATGGCAAGATGATAGTTATTAAGCAGAGAATCACTGCTGGAAGCAACACTATTGTCTTGAAAAATCACCGAGATTGGTTTCTATCGTGCGAGGGATTCACGTCTTTTGTATTGTGTATTCCAGGTGTATGCACTTTCTTCAAACAAGCAAGATTTATGCGATGTGATCGACCATTTTAGTGTAAGCTAAGATTGTATTTTAAACTTTTCTACTTTCCTACTGTCACCTATTTTTGTAGATTGACACAGAAAACCCATGTGTGATTATGTCTCAAGACATGAGTTGGCATTACCACTGCCACCTCCAAGGCCAGCACCACTTAGAACTCTTTTGTCCAAGTGAAGGGAAGAGGGCGTGGTGACAGGTGTTACACCATGCACTCCTAGGGCTCCATGGCTGCTCTGCTTAGACATAGTTGTATGGGCATTCCCGTGAGAGTCTGTGCATCTGTAAGCTCCTAGAGGAGGTGCTCACAGGGATAATAGGGGCAAGTAGAATGGTAGTTGGGCACACAATCTAGGCTCCTTTCGGGATCAACTCGCTTGCGAGTAGTGCATGAGCAGCACCACAGGCAGGGCTGGTGAGGGAGTGCACCAGAAATGAAGAGCTGGGCTATGCTTGAATCCTGGAGCTGACTCGCACCATGGCAGTGGGTGTGGGTGATGCAAGGTATGTGAGTGACCAGATGGTGTGTGCAACATGAAGGCGTAAAAGGAGTTCTTTGAGCTGTCAAAGGAGGGGAAGCTGAAGTACACTACCAGTGATCCTCCAGCATCCGCTTAAAGAGCCTGAGAGCCAAGGCTACATCTCCCTGGTGGGAGTAGCTGGAGATGATTGCGTTCCAAGTTACAGCGTCGCGTCCCACGCTGGCTGTGGCCACTGAGTTGAAAACTTCACAAGCTTCTGCCATGCAGCCACACTGTCTGTAGAAGCCCAGAAGAGAGTTCACGACGACCACCTCGGCTTCCATCTCGGCATGACAGATCTGCTGGTGGATGGCGCTTCCAGTCTCCAAAGCCTTGGAGCTCCCACAGGCCTGGAGCGCAGAAGTGTAAGTTGGAGCGTCGGGTACTAGGCCTTGGACTTGCTGCATCTGCGAGAGGAGATCTAGTGCAGCCGGTGCTTGCTCCGCCTGGATGTATCTGAGCATCAGCGTTGTCCACAAGACAACATCGTGCCTCTCCATCCGGTCGAAAACTCTCCGTGCATCCACCTCTTTGTAAACCACCTAGCATTTGCTGGGGAAGTACTTGTATTCAAATATAGATTCTAGGATATTTAATCTTTTTATTTATAATTTATAATCTTTCCTAAACACTTTCTAGTATATTCTTGTTTATTCTACTATTGATATGGAATAATATTAATCTTGACTCATAAATTATAAATATGTTTATAACCATTGATCAATTAAAATACTCAATGAATGATACTAAGTATTGTCTCTCATATTTTTTATCCTTCACCATGGTGTGCCAGCTAAGACCCTTTTGCGTCTTTTCAGGTACCACCTTTGTTTGAATTTCATGGACGGCTCCATCAACCTTGCATTCCTTGCAAAGTTTACCAACCTCCCAAGAAAAGCTTTTCTCTCATTGAGCAAGCATGCTGAGTAGTGGATTCCATCCAGATTTCTCTCCCAGATCTGTGAGTGGAGCCTCTTCTCTGCTAAGTCGCTGTGTGCCTTGAGCGCCACCATGAAAGTCTGAGCGTTTGGCTGCTGGCTTGCTCATAGCACTCAAGAGCAAATGTTGTTCTCAGCATATCCCAGGAAACGATGTTTTGCTACTCCATGCAAAGTCTCAGTGTTTGGAGGCAGGCCAGCTTCTCGTTGCATCTGATAGAAGACGTGCTGTCCCATGATGATCGTGTTCCAGGCAACCAACGTCATGTTTATTTGTCCTCCTGAACACTTCTGATGCTTCCACATGTCCACGAGGGTGCTTGTGACGAATGCATCCGCTTTGTATTCACAATTTGCGAGGTAGACCAACCTATCCTGTTCTTCGTCCCATCCTGTTGAACAACCTGTGTTGCAAGCCGCAGTGTAGACTTCAACCATACTTTCACAATTGCACTTGCTTGATTCCCGGCTTGACTCTGGAGAAACTTATCTGGCTGCTATGCCCTGCACTGCTTCTTCTCATCGAAATTGAGATTTGAGCGCCTGCAAGAACAGAGAGCAAAAGTAGTACGTTACCTTTTCTCAAACCTTTCGTCTCAAGCAACTTCTCTGGCCTTTGGAGGTGCACTAACGTCTGCTCCCCCGTCACTCTAGAGGATAGCTCAGTCAAATCGAAACGTGGTAGGTTCTTGCTCTATTTTCCAGTCCATGTTCCGAGCCAGCTGTGCAATAACTTCCAAGTCTGGTAGTTGACCCTTGTATGTGATCTTCACTGTCCATGAGCAAGAGCCTGCTGTCTTCTTGCTCTGCAACTTCATCTCCTTGAAGATTGTTTGTACACAATCTTCCATGTGACAACGCATGCACTGTGCTGACTTATGCGTCACTGCCAGTGTTGGCAGGACACTTTGAGGAGAATCCTAGAGTGCCATTGCTGTGCAAACCACGAGTGTGAGCTTCCAGCTGTTTCTTCTCAGTCGGAGGATCGTCCACCACAACTTCAATCTGCCACCCGGGATCCTGAAAGATCACATTACTGCACTGCTCCCTTCGAGATAACATCCATCGCACAAGCAAAAAGCACGCGAGCAGCACCAAGATCGCAACCAAAACCCAGAGAAGAAGCTGGAGCAGCGACCACGGCGTCCTCCGAACCACTGTAACTACTGCTGCGGGTGTTGGTGTGGCCACTGCTGCATTGTGACCGTCGCGACGATGGTGGTGGTGGTGGTTGTGGCGTCCTCCATGGTGGTGACCATGGTGGTGACCATGGTGATGGTGGTGAACAACCAGAGGAGCTCCATCACCGTTATGATGATGGTACACTGCTGCTGCTGGAGCTGGATGGTGGTGGCGAGCATGATCGAGGATAGCAGGCGCTGGAGCTAGATGAGCAGGGTGGCCATGTGAAAGCAGCTGGCGCTGGGGCTCGATCTGGAGCGTCACCTTGAAGAACTGGAGCTAAAGCTGGCACTGGCTCGTGGCCTTGGTGTCCATGGTGGTGTGCTGGATGTGCTGGAGCTAGAGCTGGAGCTCGCGGGTGTGAAGCTCGGTGATGGCCGCCATGCCAGGGCGCTTGAGCTCGGCGGGCAAGCATTGGGGCAGCGTGAGCGCGAGAGACCATAGCTTACCTGACAAGAGCTTCGACAATAGAAAAATCCAAGCGAGAGATTATAACCTAACCCTTGACTTCGAAAAAATAAAGAGGTACTTTTGGCTTTGTGAAAAAAAAAACGAGTGGACTGTGGATTGTCAGCAAGGGTGCTATCGGGCTTGAGCATGCCAAAAAGCCCAAACCTAGATGTGAACAGCGATTTAATCTCACAATCACTCGTTTTTCAAACCTCTGGAAACTTGGCACTCATTGAATGCAAGTTATGGAGCTCATGGAGACACAAGCTATCAGCGTGCACAAACTACTTCCTTTTGCAAAAAAGTGGGAAAAAGAAACACAAGATAAATGTCTATCCATTGCTGTTTTGATGGTCTCACAGTGCAACATCCATCCATAGCTCCCCCAAAGGTCAACACCAGTAAAATCGCTCAAAACACTTGGAACAATCCAATAATCGAACATATTTGGAGATGCTGGGAATCGATCCCGCTGCCTCTCTCATGCTAAGCGAGCACTCTACCATCTGAGCTACATCCCCTTAGCAAAAAAACAAAAATGCTAATCTTTTCTCTTCACCATTCTAATACTCATCCTTGGAGATTCTGGCATCTTTTGTTGCATTTCAAGAGCCTTTTGAGTGATGAGCTTTGGAAAGACCACCATCTCCAGCAAGTTTCTATAGGCAAGCATCTGCATCTGTAGGCAACCATGAAGAATGTTTCTAATGCTTATAATAATAATAATAGTATTCACAAGAGGAGGACGAAAAGAGAGTGTTATTCTAAAGCAATTGGTAAAACCAACACAATATAAATCAATTGTATGATCTTCAGTAACAATCAAATTGTATAAACACTAATATTATTTGGTATTTTGGTTTGCTAGTAAACATATTTAGCTACATAATTGTATAGCTAAAAGTCTTTTAAAATGAGTAACTTTTTTTTCTTACAAAATTTCAAAATTGGAAACGTCACCTTTACATTCTTTCAAAGTTTAAATGCATTTGCTTTTGGTCTCTCATAGCCTTTGAACAAACAAATAGAGATATTGGGCACACTTGATCAATTCAAAAAAACTAATTATTAAAAGCTTACTAGGTGATGGATTTTGTTTCAAGGTGGCCTCTCTCCATTCCTTGTATTCTAAGCATGTTGTCCTACTTGGATCTTGTATAAAAACCAAACTAATGCTTTTAGAACTTGTAAGTTGTAACAAGAAAATCAATGCCTTCCTATTGACCTCAAGAATGTACAACTTAATGTACTTTCAAGTGGATCTGCTAATAAAGAAAGCCAAGTCAACAAAAGGAGTCATTAAGAATATTTTAAAAATATTTTGGTACACTAAAGAATATTTTCTTAATGTTTTAGTGGCAAATAAGTATTTTAAACAAAATAGTAATTTAAATAATATCTAGATCTTGTGAGGTCCAAGTGTACGGCTATGATGCCATATACTAATATTAGCATAGTGGGATTTTGGTAGCCGTCATATTGGTTTCAATCAGACCACTTGCTCTTGTATATAAATTAGGGTTTTTGGGCTAATTAATATGCACATTTTCTCTATTCCCTTTTTATATTTCATGCACTCAAATTGGTGGAGATGAGGGGCACCTAAGGAGTGCTCAAATTTGGGATTTTTGGTTTAGATATAACTTTTACATTGTCTAGATCTAACTTTTTCCATTTCCTTTCTTTTGTTCTTTCCTTTCAAGATCTAGCTTTTTGCATTGTTTAGATCTTCTTTTCCTTTTAGCCTTTTTTCATCTCTCTTCTATTGTTTTTTCCTTTTCGTTCATCTTCATAGTAAATTAGCAATCTCTTCCTCTTTTGACTCTGGAGTAGCAGTTGGTACAATTGCTTGATGCTATGCGATTGCAATTGAACAGCCAAACTCAGTTGATGGCAGCATTCATGGCACATAGTACAACTCCTCCTGTTCTTAGTGCCAATCCTTGTGTTCAGCCGGAGTTCTTTCACGGAAATCCTGAGGATGATGTGTACCATTGGTCCTTCAGCTCTAGTTTTTGTGGGTGATGGTCCTATTCTAATGGAAGTTGATGCTGCTACTACTCAAGCCCAAGGATAAGGGCGAGGCTATGGTTGTGGCGGGCGCGGACCATACTTGAGCTCACGAGTTGAAGAGTTGAGCACACGAGTTGAGCTCAATTTTCAATTGTAATTTAGTACAAATATTATAAATTTTAAAATTTTAAGGTTATGGCGAACCTAATAATTTAATAACTCTTTATATATTATATAGATAAAAAATTTCTAAAGAACACTTTTTGTTCTAATAATTTAAATATTTACTACATGCAATGATAGGGACATTTGTTAGAACATAAAATAAAATGTTTGCAAAAAGAGTATTCTTGTCACTTCTTTAAATTTGTACTCTATGCTTTCTGGCTTGTAAATGTTAGGTTTGTCAGAATTAAAAAATTATTAAATTTGAAATAAGATTCTATGTAAAGCCATATAACCGTTTGAAAGGAAAAAAAATAACCGTTGATGTAAGCTTATTACATATAAAAGAAAGACTTGGTTCTTTATAGAATACATTCTTGAGGGGTTTGTCATAGCATACTGTCTAGAATTTATAGATCTTCATTCACACTCTCATTCGAAAAAAGGGAAATACACCCACAAATGTCTATGGGTTCTAGTGTTGGTAATTTTAACTCTTACAATCTTTCTTCCCAGGGCTCAAGGGCTAGGAGATGCAATAACTATCCCATTGCACAGCATAACCAAATCACACAAGAGAATGAAAGAGAGGATAGTGATCATGAGTTGGAAATAAATGCACTGACAGAGGGTGTAACAAATTGGGTGAAAAAGAATGCCCTCTTGTTTTAGAAAAGTGCAATTCTGCCACTTTCAAGAGGTGCCCCATATGTTTTCTAGCGTCTGGTGGAAACAATGGCAATGATCAGTAT